GAGAGAGAGAGAGATCCTGCGGTCACACCCCTTTTATCCATTTGCACACCACCAAGAACTTCTACTTGTCGGCCACATCCTGTCTTGGGCGCTTTGACCGAGCGCCCATTTCGCTCTTATCCACTCTTTATATTATATTATATTATATTATATTATAAATATATGATAGCTAATTTAAATGAAACTTTTTTTTTTACTTTTAATCATTTTTTCTTTATTTTTCTTATAAACGAGTCCATATATGAACTTGTCCTGTTACAATGTTTTTACATTGTACTATAGTGTTTTTGGTAATATTAAAAAATATACTGTAACATAGTACATAAATATTAAGTTTTTAAAAACTAATAGATGATAATTATAAAAGTATTTTTAATTATAAATTTCGCACCATTTTTCCTAAAAAAGAAAAAAAAAAGATATTGTTGCTGATTACATTGGTATTTATAAAAAAAGTGAAAAAACATAAAAAGAGAGAAATTTTCTTAAGTTTAGATTATTGGTATTTTTAAAAAATTGCAAGACAAAAATACATTTTAATGATGGATAGATTATTGAATAAAAATTCTTCCTTTTTTTTTGAACATAAACTTCTACATCTATACTTTTAGATATTTTAGTATTTAATATATTGTTATATAAGTGATAGATCTGAAGTTCAAATTCATAAGTAAGCATCTTGTACACTATTTAATATAACATTTTACAAAAAAAAATATATTAATTTTTTTGGTTATAGAAAAATATCTTTCATTTTTAGGACTGAAAAAAGTAGATTTAATCTGTAAACAGAAAGACATTATGGTATTATTAAAAAAATATGCTATGTGATATAATGAAAATTAAGAGCACTTAGGATGATTAATTAACCCTTAATTATTGTTTAAAAAAAATTACAAGATAAAAATATATTTTCACGAATTTCTTTCGGATTATTTAAAATTTAAGACTTGAGATAAGTAAAAAAAAGAAGAAGAAATTGTAGATATATTTAGGAGGGGATCTCGAAAGATGTAGTAAGAGACTCTGAGAGAGAGAGAGAGAGAGCGAAAGAGAGAGAAGGGGGGTTTAAATGCGAGCACATGGTGTGGGATCGGGGCCGGCTGTCCTCGCTTGGAGCCCTAATCGCCCTTCACGTGTTCCTCCCCCCCGCCTTCCTCTCGCCTATTAATACCTCATCGTCTCCTGGGGGTGGTTCGCCAGAGAGAGCCCATCGAAGTGCGCAGGCAGCGGAAGAGGGAAAAGGGCGTCATGGAGGGAGGAAAGAAGCAGGACGCCGGTGCCCCCGCCAATTCGTCGTCCTCCTCCTCCACTTCTTCTTCCTCGCCCTCCGGCTTCTTCAGCAGTGTCTTCCCTCCTCCTTCCACGGTACGTGGTGGTTGTTCTCGATGAGCGATCCCCTTGTTATTATGAGCTTTCCTTCTTCGATTCCGGCTCTTCGGTGATGGGTTTCACGACCTGTGTTGGGGTTTGTTTGTGGATCTCGAGGCTTGGGATTATGCTAGGGTTGTGGATCGAGTGCGTGCTTTTTTGCAGCTCGTGCGTCGATCGACTCCTAATTAATCAAATTTTTTTTTGTGGAAATTGAATCAATCGTTCTCTGTGATTGAATCAATCGTGCTCGTAAAGACGAACCCTAAACGAATGAGTTCGATCTACGTCGTTGCAGGTGATGGCTAAGGATTCATCGCAGAGTGACTTGTACTGGACCTTGAGCAAGCAAAGGGCGGATGGTTCGATCGGGAACGCTCAGGGCGCGGCAACAGGTCCCTTAACATAAACCAACTCGTTCCCATTGCTCATGCCGATTAGGGTTTTGATGCTTTGTGTTTAATGTTCGATTAGCCGTCTCTTGTTTGTTGTGTTGTCATTGCATAACTTTTTCTTCTCCAACAAAAATCAACAGATTTAATCGACATATGTAAGCTCAGATGGATGTGGTTCCGATTAACTATGGTGTTCGAGGTAGTCATATGACGGCCATAACATTCACTTTCACCCGAGTACTCCATTATTCGCCTTTTCCATTACCGGAAAGAAAACGGACCAAACGTTTTGTGTCCACTTATGCAACTCATAGCTGACTGCATCATCTTCGAGCATGGCTGAAATCTCAATGTTAGGTTTTCCCAACTTTTTCATTCAATTTGACCTGGAAAAGCTAAATGTCCATGTGCAGATGGCAAATCACAGGGAAGTCCAACCAAAAGGCAAACAGCACGGGGCAAGGATGGTAAACCAGTTGATCCCGGTCAATCTGAAGAATCAGCCTATTTCGGTTCATCTGTGCACTATGGGGGTCGTGATTTCTATGTCACTTCTCCATCCAACCAAGTCTCTGGAGCTCCAAAAATTGTAAGCGAAACAGAAAAAAATAACAAAATTAAATTGGAAGCCACGGTGTCTAACTGTTATAGGCAAATTTACTTTCTAATGCTATCAGTATAAAGCTGATGAAGGGGATGGTTCAGGTGACACAAACATTGCCAACAGAGGTGAATGGTGGCAAGGTATGACAGAGATTTATTGCCTAATGTACCATGCATTCAAGAGAAGAGCAATTCAATAATTTTTTTCTCTGTTTATTTTCTCCTATTTCTCACTCAGGTTCCCTGTACTATTGAAGACTAATTATGTCAGTGTGCTTTCCATTATTAAGGAAGAAGGTATTTCTGAAGCCATGGGCTCTAGTTATACAAATTTCCCTTTGTTTATATAAATTTGACTAATATTCATTGGACTGTCTCGAGCTATTGATGAATAGTATCATTTTTTCTTCATTGGACAAGTGATCGTATAGAATTCCAGCACATTATGGACACAACAAGTCTGTCCTAGCGACTCGTGAGGGACACTTAATTTTGAACCTACATGGTTTGCCTCTGTTTTAGGTGTAGGGCATTGAATTATGTAATTCATTAGTACTTTATTCAGGGATAGAGCATAATCACCATTAATAACTATTCTTCCTTGTTCAAACTTCAAAATATTTTTTGTTGGTCTTTAAAAGTAGTGCCCCTCTTTCTTTTTATTATTTACGTGTTCTTCATATATGGCAGATGTGAATCTATCAAAAAAATAAAAAATCCTCAAAGACATGATTGCTTTCTTTCTTAGGTGATATTGGTTAACTGAGCTTTGTATGTTTCTCAAATGATTGAACAAACCAGAACATCTTCTCTTAATGTGGAATCCTATAGACTTGATATGATTGAAGACTTATTAGATAAATCTTGTAATTATCTGAAAACACCGAGTGTCTTATTTGCTGTTGCTTCGTCGTCGGAAGAGTTTTGAATTTGTAACTTGCAAAAGATAGCCATAAGAACCTCTGAAGTTTCACCATCTTTTTGGAGTACATTACTTACTGCTTGACTATTCTGAAACTGCATTTTGTTGTACATTATTATAAAAACTTATTTTTTGAGTCCATTTGTATAACAATGTTTCAGAGGGTTGATGCATTTGCTGAATCTTTTGTGCAACCTTTTTGAACCATAATGACAAGCTAGCTGATAGCCTATACAAGCTTAAAAACCAAACATGGTTTTTGTCTTATGTTCCATTGATTGTGGAGGACTGAATTATACATGTGGAATGCATAATATTTTCTCGTCTCATTTAAGGGAAAAAAAAAAAGTGTACAGCATTTTTCTTCACTCGTGCATACCATTTACTGTACTCTGGCTTGAACCATGGATGACATGGTGATCTTATTAGCTCAATGTCAATGATGGCTTGTCTTCTGTCCAAATGTTGTTTCTGAAGCTACAAGTTCCAGAACAGATGAACAAAGAAGCAACATGAGATCTGAATAGAGTACTAATTCAGATGTGATGAACTAAGAAACAAAGTGAGATATGAATTAGAGTACTACAAGTTGATAAGCCTTCATTCATCAGATTTGTAGTATTAAACAGAACCATATTAGGCGATCACATTTTCTTGATATGGCATCTCCCAGAAAGTGTGCTATTGTCATACCCCAAAAAAAATTCGTGTGCCCACCGTCTTCTTCCTGGTTGTTTAAACCCTAGAATCATAACACTGAATAATCAAATGTAAAAAAAAAACATCTAGCTCAAAAAATACATCTGATTGTATGAGATTTGTTGCTTCAGCTACTCTAATTTTCACTGTGCATTCCTTTTCTGGCAGGTTGTTGGGAGAGCTACTGCCATTCCAGTGATCGGGTGGCATCTGGTTTCTTCCTACAGGAGTCCTCTTAAGCATCAGAGGAAGTCTGGTTTTGATTTGTTTCTTGGTGTCTAGGTTGGCAGATTACAAATATACTAGTGTCTTTATAGAAGTATATTCTATATGTGGTGTTTCTGGCCTTTCACCTCCAGCTTTTATTGTAGTGAGGTTGTAAGTTTGCTCAGAAATGTATCCTTAATACACAGGAATAACATATAAGCAGGTCTTTTGTTAAAAAGTCAATTCCTGATAGTTCGTCCTAATTTGCAAAGAGATGATGAAGAATCGGTTATTTTCAGTATCCGTGCTTATTCCGTCGGTTTATGAACTGAATATAAATAATTACTCAAGCAATGACGAGTTTGGATGTGTAGTTAATCATATGTGAAACTGAATTGATTAAAATTGATGGATATTATGTCTTAGCGATAAATACAAGGAAAATAAAGAAAAAAGAAAATTAATTCTATTATCGTATATTCTTTCAATTTTTTGATATTATTTTAGAAATAAAAAAAAGGAAATTTTAATTACATTAAATAGTAACGCTATATCGGATGGATTTCCCTCTTATATAAGAACTCGGTTCATTATACGATTGTAACTGCCGTAGGAAGAGGATCGGAGGAAGAGGATCGAAAAATGGCGGTGAGGAGGGGAAGCAGAAGGAAGATCGATCATCGTCTCTAATGTTTCACTTTGTCTCTTAACTCTGATCTCCAGGTGGTACCTTCCTCTTCTTGATCACCTGTTTTTCGATGGTCACAATGCGTCTTTTTAGGTCCTCATCTGCCGTCTGCGAATCGAGTGGGACCGAGGCCGCGTTTGCGTGTTGATGGTCCTGAGGACCACAAGGATGGAAGAGACGCACCACGGTGAGCGATGCGCCCGCTCTTTCTTTTTGTTCTTGCTAGTTCGGCCATGTCGCCGTTTCTTCTATAGAGTGTGTGACATTGCGTACGAAAACATCGAACCATGAATTGGTTGGCATCGAATTCAGGGAAGGTGGGAAGACGACGAAGTTGGTGAGTTTTGCCAAAGGTGTCTCCTCAGTACTCCGAGATTTGAACATGTTTTAGTTTTAATTAGCCCTAATGTCTGCAAAAACATTTCCATACAAGAGAGTATATAACAGATTGGTTGGACATTGAACTGGATTGATATCTTAATGTGTGTAAAACATTTCATGCTAGAGGATGTAGATCAGATTGTCTGGACATTGAACTGCATCTCTATACATTAGATTGCCACTATCTTCTTTCTTGGAGCTGTTGCTGCTTCCATCGTTTCTAGTTTCTACGATTTCATGGGTTCTTACAATGTTTGAAATCACCCAAGCAAAATTTGGCAGATCATGATTTCCACAGCAGTTTGTTTGCTTGTCATACATGCTTAGATCTAGCCTACGCATCCAATTGATCTGCCAGGATGGTTTTCCTTTTTTATTTTATTGAAACAAAAAGATGATTTCCATTAATCATAGAAAGGTGATAGACCGACCAAGTGGTTCTCCCCAAGAAAGCTAACTGATGTACATTATTGTTATTAGTAGATGTAGGTATAAAACAAATATTGATAATAGAGAAGGATAAGCCCAACAGTCTAATGTTATTTAAAATAGCCTTCAACAACCAAGGTGTTATCTGCCAGGTCAGTTATGTTCCATATTAGTGTTAGATTTTAGATTTGTGAGTGTGGTCGGTAAATTATGATCTTCTACCTCCTTTTTCTTTTTTCCTAATGGGTAAATATTGATGAAAACATGAGAAGGAATTGATTGTTGAATTACAACAAAATTAAGTTTTGAAAGAAAATTAGGAGTTTAAGTCTAATTAGATTTACTGTTTAAGATCCATATTCTCCAAGGAATTCATGTGGGACGGAGTGTGTTAATCAAGCTTAGTGGACATGTTAGACTCTTGTGAACTCGGGCCTTTTAGCTAAAATCTATGGCCTTTTTATGTTACAAACAAGGATATGAACCTCTTTAGAAGAGTGAAGTTAGAGCAGCTTTTTGGGACAAGGATCCAAATTAGAAATCATAGTGTGCTACAGTGGTCCTGATCATCTGGACTTTTTCGTAGCATTCTTAGCAGCTTACTGAGTGAGTTCAGCCGGAAATTTTGGTATTCTGAATCATTTCTTAATATAACTATAAATTTGCACAGATGTCTTCTCTTCAAGCTTTCTTTTATTGAGTTTACATTATATTAGTCACTGTACAGAGTTATTTCTCATGTTGTGATGATCTCTCTGTTTAATAGATAATACTTGACATTTTCTGACAATATTATAATTGTTACCTGTGGTTGCTTATTGACCCAATATTTGTTTCTTCTTGTTAAAGCCATTTGCTGTAGATTAGATGGATCAGTAAATTCTGGACATCCAGCTGAATATGAAAACGGCGGACTTTTGATTGATAGTATGATTTGGTGCTGGACTTCATAATTGCTGATGAGCATGTCCTGGTTTTTCTGTTTTCAGCATTCCTCCTATCAAAGTTGGTATCTGGATTTATGGATTATCAATAGTTTACAAGAAGACCCTTGAATTGAAAATGCTCCCAGAACTCTGAAGAATGCCTCTTTGGGCTAAACAAACTTGAATTGCACAACATTGGTGTATAATTTCTACTTTGCTGCAGTGGGTTTGATGTCACCGTTACACATGCTGAAAAGAGGCACAAATAATTTATTTAATTAAACTATGTAGCAGCAAGATTTGAATGTTAAGAGTGGATCTGCATCATTTTATAATACATAACAACAATAAGAACAACAATGACGATGATAAGTCCTAATGTCCCAAATGAGAAGAATGATTCTTTGCAAGACTGGCTAGGTTTCTATTTTCACCTCCAATAGCTGCCCTCTATTTTCATTTTATTGTTTGTATATTTGCTGGTAAATGTGTAAAGCAAAGTCATATGAAAAACAAATATGGATCTTGAAAGAAGGAAAACTTGATGGGATGTCCTTCATTTCTTATTCAACTTTGTGGTCAATTCTGCCAAACTGGTAAAATAATTATTTACTGGCCTGAATTTAATCTAAAATAGAAATGAGCCCACGGAAGAAATAGTGTTGCTTCGAAGCTCATAATTTGTTTTTATTGGTTGTCATGACACTTCATCTTTTTTTTTAGTGAATCTGATATTTATAGGCTTATAAGAGAAGGACAAGTATTGCCTCGCGAGGTAAGTCCTGTTTTTATTTTTTGTTCTTACCAGTTGCTAATTCCTTATTCAATCAGTTACAGAAATTGTAGTTGATGCTACCCATGAATCGTAGTTGATTGGGAATGCTCATGTTGAATCTAAATAATCCTAAGCTAGGAAACATGTGCCTGGAGCAGAACTTTAATCTGTAGGTTTTATGGCAATCAGGAGCATCAGTCTTGCTGCTGAACTTTGCCTAGTTGCTAACACTATTCTTTTCTTTCATCAGGAAATTTCTGGATTGCAAATTTTCTTCAACCGAATTTATTTTCTTGCACAGGAATATTCTGGACTGCAAATTTTCTACAGCCTGTGCTTACTGGTCAGACTTTTTTGATTGGAATTAACTGGCCATCTTTATTCAAGTCACAGGTTAGATGTCTTAGCTAATAAAAGCTTCATGTTCCAAGTTCTAAAGAATCTCTCTAGCATTTCTTTGTCCGTTCACTGTCCAGCTTGCATCTCACTTTTACACGTTATAACCACTTCCTGCGATGATTTCGGTCATGTAGGAAGTTTATGTTCTCTTTCAATCAACAATGTGCAGTCACCTGATGTGTTGTCTCAGAAGTTGTACAACAAATATCATGGAGGTTTTGCATCTTAGTTTTAAACGGTAAGATAACCGAGAGCAGTAAATGTTTTTTCCCTTTTGTTGATCTTCAAAAATTGGGTAAGGATAAATATTCAGGAGTTATACAACAAATATCATAGAGGTTTTGCATCTTAGTTTTAAACGGTAAGATGGCTGATATCAGTAAATGTTTTTTCCCTGTTGTTGATCTTAAAAAATTGGGTAAGGATAAATAGTCAGGAGTTTGCTATCAACAATTGAGTTCTTTGCTTAGCTAACAACCTTCACCTACTCCACTAGAGGGTCCTTAGCTTATCTTTTGGTTTTAGGTTGACATACAGGAATCGATCGGTTGTTTTGGTGAGCAACTCTTTGGGAGGTTTTTGTTTGATGTTGACTTGACATGATCGAATCATTTGCAGGACGATTCCTTTGTCGGATTGGGAATCTGAGGGAGCTATAGAAAGCCCTACCGGACAATCATTATTGGTGTCCAGGAGAAAAATCTAGCATTTGATTTTTACCATTCAGATGCAGTTATACACGTCATAAAATCTAAACAAATCAGCTTCATTACCAACTTCTGGACAACTGTAAATCCCATTGATGCATGTCGGTGTCTTAGACTTTGAATTGTGCTATCCTAATAAAGGCTTAGGATGAATCATTCTAATATGGTAAGAGGTTTCCAACTGATCGATTGAATAAAAGATTTAAGACGTCCGGAATTATTAAGACGAGATACGTATTATCAATCTTATACTCATAGAACCAGCCGACTCCAACCGGATCGGACTGTTCGGTGAGAGACCATTTAGGGTTTCTGATCACAATGTCCCTCTTCCCCCTCCCCCATAAAAGAGGGAGAAGGAGCGAGAGCTGCGGACCCATCGACCCACCACCCTTTATTGCCCACCGTCCCTGGACATTCTTCCTCTGAGACTCGGTTCAAAAAAATCTCACGGGGAGACGAAACCTAAACCTAAACCCCCATTTCTCCTCCCTACTTTGTCTCGTTGCTGTTCCTTCCGTCATCCGCAAAACCCACCCCATCTCCCCTCCCCTGCTATTTTTAGCCCTTCCGACGACGCCAGCAACAAGAAGCGCTCGGTCGAGTCGCTTTTCTGACTATTAGTCGCGGTCGCTGTCGTTGTGGTCGTTGTCCTCGATGGCGAAATCGTACGGAGATGGAGACATTTGGCTGCCTCCGGAGTTCCTCTGCGCCGACTTCTTCCGCGAGGGCGGAGAGAGGTGTGAGGCGGGCTTCGCTGGGGCTTGCATCCCATGCGAGTTCGGGCTTGGCTCGAACCCGGAGTCACCTGTGGAGTCGGCGACCACCGGAACGGAGAGCGACGAGGAGGTCTATATGAAAGCCATCACCCAGCAGATGGCTCGCTTCTTCCTCCGGAACGACGACAAGGACGCCTCCGTCACGGCTCCGAGCCGCGCAAAGGTAAAGAATATGTGGCTGGTCGTTAGCGACGAATCAGCCACTGGGGCTTTCCGCCTCGAATGTGCTGACATTGGGGTGGTGGGGTTTTCTTGACGGCTCAGGCTATGGCGCGATCGCCACAGTCCGCGCCGTGCACGCGGTCTTCCTCGAACAAGGGAGGCAGCGTCAACGGCCCCACGTTGGTCTCGTCGCCTCCTCTGGAGCAGCGAAGCGAGGAGACCTGCGACCTTCTCGACGAGGCCCCGGGGCAGATGATGCGGCTGAGGCGTTTTGGCGATCTTGCCCTCTGCGACCGTCGGATCCTTGGCCCGCTCATGAAGCAGTCTCCGGCGATGTCCACGGCTTGCAAAAGCGCCAATGCCGGGTACTATGACCTCGGTCCTGTTCTCACCCATCGTCAACTACAAGCAGCTCATGTTAGTCTCAGTCTCTTCTTCCGTTGGTCTTCTCATGTGATTTTTGCTCCTATGATCTCTGACCTCTGTTGTTGTCCGCCAGTTTCATCACCTGAAGCGGCAGCAAGCAGCGAAGCAACGACTGTCGGCGGCGTGGGGAAGGCAGTGCAAAGCCAGAGATAGCAGCGTGGGGTACGCCGAAAGCCGGTGCGGTCGGCCTCCGGATCCGTCCGCCACCGCGTGTCCTCCGCTTCGAAAGCCGCAGCATCCGCCGCCGGGATCCGGGATGCGCGCCGTGTTCCTCAACAGCTCTGGCTCCCGGAAGGAGTCCGCCGGCACCGGCGTGTTCCTGCCCGGGACCGCCAGCAACAAGCTGGCGCCGCGGAAAAAGACCGGTAAATGCGCCTCACGACAAGAATCTCCTCTCGGATTCTCTTGTCGTCGTGCCTCTGTATTCCTCTTCTGTCGTATCTAGCAAGCAGTCAACATGTTGGTCACTAGGTCCGCTAATATTTTGTCGGCGGTCGGCGTTCATTTCTTTCCCAACTTGAGGATTCGACATTGTCCTCACTCGCGTCGCTCTTGTCGACCGTGTGCTCTTCCCAACTCATGGTTCCTCCACAGGTTGTTCGACCGTGCTGGTTCCTGATCGAGTGGTTCGGGTGCTGAACCTGAGGTTGGAAGACTTCGCAGCGCAGCCACGCTTCCCCGGCGGCTTCGTTCTCACTCACGGTAACTGCTTTCTCTGTGCGATCGTATCAGCTTGCCAAAAGTGTTTGCCTTGCTGAAGTGTTGTCTTCGACAGAAGCTCTTCTCGGGCGAAGCAGCGCTGCGCTATCACATCAGAAAAAGAACCGCCACTTGAATTGCCAGCCGCCGACCGCTGTGGCAGAAGCAGCCGCCGACGAGATTAGACTCCCTCGTGACTGGAGCTACTGACATCAGTGTAGTGCTTACTGTAGTATTTAGGATTGGGCGTAGGACAGCAGTAGTAATAAGAAACTTATGATGGAATCCCTAAGGCACAACAGTACGGCAGAGCTAAAGCTAGGGTACGAAGAATAAGTTGCAGTCGTGATGTTTTCTTGGATTGTTTTTGTATGTAATTTGGTCTTTTTATCTACCTTAAAACAAACACTTGTGTGGCTAAGAAATAAGTAGGAATTCTTTGTGCTACTTCATTTATAGACGGTTAGTGTCTTTTGTGTTCCAGATGGGAAGCATCGCAAGCGAGTTGGGCTTTCGATACGGTGTTATGATTTGATTTTGCTGAGATAATTATTTATTTAATTATTTAATTAAATTATTAAATTAAAATATTTAATTTAATGTAATTAATAATAATAAATTTATTATTATTATTATTATTATTATTTTTATTTGGACAGTTGGCTCTACTCCCTTTACGGTTCCTACATGTTGGGTGATCGCAGCTGCCGATCCCCGCTCTCTCTCGTCCTCACCCGACCTCATGTCCAAGGTTCGGTGAGCTACCATTCAATTTTGGTCATCACCACCGAAGCTCCACGAGGCGGGGAGAGGAGACTTGGCTTGGCAACATCCACCGCCTCTAGCATACGATCGAGCAGTTCTCTTTCTGGAGCTTTTGATGGCAAAGCATGTCGTCCGGCATCACGGTGTCGACGTCCGCGTGCCGTCCATTTCCGTTGCTCTTTCTCTCTTCGTGCACCTGGGTCAGATGTCTTGGAATACTCTGCCATGAAGTTTTCCTGGGTCAAGCCGCAGTTGTCTCCTTTCTCTCTCCTGCACCACACTAAAGCAAGAAGATAGGCTCCTCCGTCACTCTCGCACCGTAAACCAGGTGGACACAATGGTCCCTCTTTAATGGCCTTTAGGAGAGAAAGGTTGCCCCATTTCCAGGCTGTGAGGTGGCAGAGAGCTATAATATATCCACTAGTGGACTGGATGATGATGATCATCACTGTTTCTTGCCTCCCGTTAATGTCTTCTCCCTAATCGTAGCTTCGCCAATCATCACAAAAAGGTTGGTGGAGCGAAGGCCACAGCAAAAGCATGGACGCATTAAGACCCTGACATCGATCGGCATTTCCTCCACTGGGCAGCCACACGAGACTGGCCGCATGCGCATCGAATGATACGTATAATACATATGGAACCGCAGGATGTTTCCTGTGACTGTCCATTATGGAGCTCACGAGGAATTTGAATCCGCACACTGTTAGAAATGGCTTATCGTCTTCCTCGCAGCCTCTCTCTCTCTCTCTCTTTATATTTATATATATATATATATATATTTTTATATATAGTTTGTATTAGCCGATTTGGGTCAGTGATGCAGTCCGCACACTGCAGCGGGATGCAATCGACGGCCTCGAGACATGGGAGGCAGCGGAAGGGCGGACGCGAAGGCAGGGATCGCGTGCAAAGCGTATATTTAAACAGGGAGCGGTCAGGTCAGCGCTGGGAAGGGCGGCTTTGTCTCAGAGGATACTTTGGAGAGAGAGAGGAACACGGTGGCCAAAAGTCACCACTGCTGTCTAAAATATACGCACACTATCTTGGCACAGTGGCTTGGATCTGAACAAGTATGCCAGCGAACGCGTCCTGAGATCCACTTCCATCACTGCCACCACCGTCTCTCCTATTCTACTATTCCCTCTCTGCTTCCTCCTCTCATTCGGAGTACAAGGAACGGCAGGAGGTGGGAGGTGTAGCTGTTTGAGAGATTGGCTCGAGTATGGGAGCTCGATGCTCCAGATTGTCCCTTTGTTGGTGGCCGTCCCATTTCAAGTCCTCTGTGCTCGAACCCGATGAGCTCGGTATTGTGTTTTTGTGTTACTACTGGTGTTGTTGTTTGTTGTTCGGTGTGCTCGTGTGATGGTTTTCGGGTCGGTGTTGAGGGCGTGCAGAGAACGGGGGAGACGACAGCGACGGCGGCGGCTTCACGGAGTACAGCTTGGATGAGCTGCGGGCCGCCACGGACGGATTCGCCCCCGACTACATCGTCTCCGAGCACGGGCAGAAGGCCCCCAATGTGGTCTACCAGGGCCGCCTCCTCCCCGGCGACCGCGACGTCGCCATCAAGCGCTTCAACAAGTTCGCCTGGCCCGACGCCCGACAATTCCTCGTCCGTCCCGGCCGCCCCTTGTCTTGATTTCTCTTCCTCCTCTTGCTGATGATCTCTGATCTGGAACTGGTCGTGGTGTCGCAGGAGGAGGCGAGGGCGGTGGGGCAGCTCCGGAGCGACCGGCTGGCCAATCTCATCGGGTGCTGCTGCGAGGGCGACGAGAGGCTGCTGGTGGCCGAGTTCATGCCCCACGAGACCCTGGCCAAGCACCTGTTCCACTGTATGTAAATAAGCAGCACTGAGACCTCCCTTTGGTTAATTTATGATGTCATTCAGGGAAAAATGAATCTGATTTCACTGACATTGATGTTTCTTTCTTCAATCATCATTCCTCTCATTACTTCTATGAATGCCATTTTCTTGATCACAAGAAGCCCTCTTGTTTCCCCCTTTCCAAAGTCTGATATCCGTTTTTTCTAATCATCAACTACGTTATAGGATTATGTGATGGTCTGATCCAATTCCATATAATTCTAGCAGTCTTATTTTGGATGACTAGTAGATGTTGTTCCTGAATTTTGCATGACAAAGCATCTACTTTGTGGATACGTAGACAAACTACTTGTGCTATTTCTAGCATTTTAATTAAGCCATCATTCAGCGCCACTCTTAGCATTTTCTCTCTCATAACCATCAATTCAGGGCTTAATTTCCATCATTCATGGCCAAGTCCCTTAATTAAAAGTCCATATTGACAGGGGATACACAACCTTTGAGTTGGTCGATGAGGATAAGAGTGGCGCTGTATCTTGCCCAGGCATTAGAATATTGCAGCAGCAGAGGGCGTGCACTGTATCATGATCTCAATGCTTACAGAGTTCTCTTTGATGAGGTGATATTATTACCATCTCCAATGTTTCTTTCCGCCACCTTCTTTAGGTTCTTCCACTGTATTCACTTGTTGTTTAACTCACTGAAGATTGGCGTTTGACAGGATGGTAATCCCAGGTTGTCCTGTTTTGGTCTCATGAAGAATAGTAGAGATGGGAAGAGCTACAGTACAAACTTGGCCTTCACACCACCAGAGTACCTCAGGACAGGTATAAAATTCTTAAAAGAAGTGATTGATTTATATGATTCCGGTTCTTGAAAATGTTTTTGACTTTAGAATAATCAGTGCTTATACTGAACATTCCTGTTTTAGCATCTTGATAACTTGGAGTTGTTTGATTCTGGTTGTTATTTATGTTGTGATTGCATAGTTCCTTGAGGCATCTATAATGCTGATAGATCTTGCATATTTGACTAAGATGAACTTGAAAAGAATCACCACAACATATCAACAACTAATTGCATATACAAGCTTGCTGTCTGTACCAGCCATGCAGTTTGTTCAATGCTTGTACAATGTCAGCATTGGGGCATGATGCATCAAGCCCGTACCTGAATATTAGTTTTGGGTTGTGTGATAGCACGACCATGGATGGTCTGTGACGTCCAGTTAAAGACTTAAACGTAATTTTTTGTTTAAGAATAGATGCAGATCATTGTACTTAGTTTCTCAGTGCACCTTGGATTTTTAATGAAAATGCTAGAGTCTAGGCGTATCTAATTTCACCTTTTCCTCCTTTTAGCTATTGAACATGATAGGCCATGCAATAGGCATTAAAAAGAAGGATTTTATTTTCTTAAGTTACTACTATTCTTGGAATTCTTTGGCAGGGAGAGTGACACCAGAAAGTGTAGTGTACAGCTTTGGGACACTTCTGCTCGACCTTCTTAGTGGAAAGCATATTCCTCCAAGCCATGTAGGTTCTTTCCATCTTATGCTTCTCAGTAATTTAGACCAGATACAATGACCATATTATTCTTATACGCTTTACCGACTGAACCTTTGAAGCTTCAAAAACTTGGTCAATTTACTCTTCGAAGAAAAGGTCTTTATTTTATCATGATTTTAGTTCTTTTTTATTTTATCGGATTTAACTCCCTGGAAACTCTTGTTGGTCACATGTTGATGACTTTAGTATAGTTTGTGGCTTCTTCAAGCGGCAATGGAGGATTCATTGTGTTTCCTTGGTTCATAACTTGCTTTCTCCTGTACAATACTGTGATGATGCAACTGCACTTCTGCTATCCCTTCTTTTAATTGTTAACTTTGAAATTGTTATTCCAGGCACTTGACCTGATTCGTGGCAAGAATTTTCGGACACTGATGGACTCTTGTTTAGAGGGGCATTTCTCAAATTCTGATGGAACTGAGTTGGTTCGATTAGCTTCTCGTTGTTTGCAATACGAACCTCGTGAGAGGCCAAATGTTAAGTCACTGGTGACTTCTCTGGAATCTCTTGAAAAGGATGCAGAGGCAAGGCATCTAAGACACACATTATTTCATGAACTAAGGTCATTCTGTTGTTGCATAGGCTGATTGTGAAAAAGGCAATTTTTTAAATGGACTGGGAAAGGTCAATGCATATAGGATACCATCTTATATGGAGGCATGCACTTGTTCGTTTAATATTTTAGAAGAACCTTGGTGCTTCCTTTTTCAAAATCTGTCCAAATAATCTTTCAATATTAGATCATGTTATTAATGATCCTAAATTTGTGCTTAATGTGCCTTTTATTGTTTAAAAAATTATCATATGCAACTTCCAACAAAATTATCATTTTTGACATTGATAACAAAAGTCTGCTTTGGCACCAGAAATATGAACTATCACTTGCGTAAACTGTACTAAATTATTATCAAATATGGGTAGAAGTAAATTCTATTTCCTGCATTGCTGCTGCACTCAGGCACAAAATGTTCAGCCCAAATTCCTGATGAGTGGCGCTTATGTGGTGTCCAAGTTGAACCTGTCTCATGCATGTAGACTTTGCACAACAAAAAATTCATATAATTTATTGTCTAATATGATCCATCAAGTGCCACTTCCGATACATAGGCATCATGTGGTATGCCACATGGTCCATATATCAGGGTTCAGTTTGACACTACCTCTGTATGCATATCATTTTAGTAGTTTATTTATTTTACTTCCAAAATTCCTGGCCTAAATATAAGAAACTCAATATCACAGGTGCCATCATATACACTGATGGGCATTCTGAGTGGTCCCGTGACTTCCAAGCAAACGCTTAAATTATCACCATTTGGCGAAGCTTGTGCAAGGTTGGACTTAATAGCTATATATGAGATACTGGAGAAAGTTGGATACAAGGATGATGAGGGAATAGCCAACGATGTAAGCAAACAGTTCTTGTTCGCCTTTCTCTTTTATTAAGGATCCTTTTGCTGCTGATGGAGAACATGCTAATCATTTTGGAGCTCAAATATGTATCATGCTGCTACCTTTCTCATCTCTTCAACTTGCATCTAATAAATCTTAATGATGAGTTGTCTATGTTATCATCATTGTAGATACAGTTGAGATAAAATATTATGTCCATGCATGTAAATGTCTGCTTGCTTTTTAAGTTAGGGTAAGAAAGTTTAGAATTGCTCAACTAATGCACATTGCAAAGTATAAGTTTTTATTCCTTTTATTGAAATTCATTAGAAGTCATATTATATATGAACTTTAACTAATTGAAATTCTATAAACTGGTTATGATGTTCCTGTCATAAACTTATCTTACTTATGCCACTTTTTGGATCAATATGCTGCTCTAGAAACAACTTGCTAATGATGATATCTTTGCAGATATAATCTTTTGTAATTGAAACTGGGAAACTTTTTGAGACAAAGATTGATTAGCAATTGATTACTTGATCTCATCTCTCAACAAAGTTGGTGTTTACTAAAGTTCTCAAATTATATTACTGAAAGTCTAAAAGGTTTTTACTAGCCAATCAAAACTTTTGCACCTTTTGTATGAGAAGTGTACTTTTTGGTGTTGCACATTTGTTGCTTGCAGATCTCTTTGAAGTTGGACTTGTGTATTGGTGCTAGTTATCATTTGGTATACATGCAATGTGTGATTGGCCTTTCGTATGATGTGTCTTTTTGCATTTGAACTTCTCAGTTGCCACTTATTTTCTGTTAATCTTTTCTGATACATGGGCTTACTTTTTTCTTTTGCAGTTGTCTTTCCAAGTCTGGACCAGCCAAATTCAGGAAACTCTGAACACTAAGAAGCATGGGGACAATGCTTTTCGAGCTAAAGATTTTGGCACTGCAATTGATTGCTACACCCAGGTCCTAGTTATTGAGCCAAGATGTGAATGCTAGTTAATTTTTTTTTCTTTTGTTAATTGGCTTTGTTTAAGTGAACAATTATTATGTTGTCAGCAAGACTGGTTAAAAAAATATTGATCATGATTTTATGGTAAAAATGACTACTAGATCAACAAATACTGTTATGGCTCATTGATAAAATATGATTCCTTCCTGGTCATTATACTCCAATATCCGATACATATCTGTGCTTGTTATAATGGTTTTGTCAGTAAACTATTCAACTTTGTAGATCTACTTGAAGGTTTGGAGCCGGTAGGAGTTTCAGTTAAAGAGCCGACTAGCAATAATGAGAATAGGTTTAAATTGATAGTAAGTGTATGATGTTGAAGGTTCAGTTCATATCTGGGGAATGAAGAGCAGTCAAACTCTGATAGGATATAATCAAATGATGGTACAGGGTGGTGTTTTCCCAAGTATCTATGTCTTGATGTCTTTCTCCTCTCGAATTTTCCATGAATGATTAATATTTTATGCTATTTTGGTAGGAAATTTTTGTGATTTTTTATATATATTTTTTCATTTTGATAATACGGACTTTTGCTGAAAATGCTCTATTGTTTTGTGGTCTTGCAGTTTATGGACGGTGGGTCAATGATTTCTCCAACTGTCTTGGCACGACGTTGTGTATCATACCTCATGAATAATATGCTGCAAGAAGCTCTTGGAGATGCTATGCAGGCACAGGTAGTCTCACCAGAGTGGCCTACTGCTTACTACCTTCAAGCCGTCGCCCTTCTCAGTCTTGGAATGGATAGTGATGCCGAAGAAATGATTAAAAATGGTACTAAGCTAGAATCCAAGAGGAAAAGCAGAAACTAATATACATAAATTTCATATGATTTCTTTTTATCGTATTCTGTACCTATTTCCCTTTTTTTTATTTTTTTTACAATCAGGTTTGCTTTTCTACCTTTCTCTCGTTAACGATAGTCTTCAAGGGTGGAAGGAGTTTGATTCCTTTGTAGTATGTCATGTCTGCAAGAACCAAGTTATATTTGACAAAAGGTGTTGGAAGGGCAATACAAAGGAAACAACTTCCATTTGACCACAAGGAAAAAAAGAAGCACAGACTGTAACAAAAGTTCATATCTCAGATTTGTAACTCTGAATCACAAGTATAAATTCTGCCAAAAGTGTGTTTCTTCACTAGATTTGCATGTTGTATTACTCTTGAAATGATGTCAGTTCTAAGTCAGTACCTGAGATATTGCAACTTGAAACTGCAGGTGCTGCACTTCATTCACAATCTGGTGTTTTCTTGTGGTTATCTTGCAGCCCATGATACACATATCCATATTGCTTCTTTTTACCTCCTGCAAATGCTAGCAGTTGGCATAGAGATATAGTAGCTATCATAATACAGTTTTGGTTCCTTGCACCATCAAATCAACATTAATCTGTCTGCAGCATTCTTCATCAATCGATTTCATCTTCTTTTTTGGTTTCGTTGCTGCTCTGAATCGATCATTTCAAATCAGCTCCAGCAACATCGGCCGCCACCAATCGTCTCTCGCGAGTGCAATCTAAGTTCTGCAGTAGTCACCTCAACATCGTGCTGCTCGGGTGGACCTCTCTCTTTGCTTTTCTGTGGAAGGAGATGGATTCTTTGTTTCTGTCCTTGTCAGATGCTGCCCGGATTAGCTAGCCAATCCTTCTTGGATTCGAATCCTATGTAGGAGGAGTGCTTGAGCCAGATTTAGAGATACAAGACCAAATTGTAATTAGAGATTCGAGGACAAAAACAAGAAATTGAAGCTGTATATCCATCCAACAATTTGTGCTTCACAGTGCAACTTCCAACAATGGTAGGTGTTACAGGTTCTCCTTTCTCAGAACAAAGTCCTTCGGACCAACAACAACAACAACAACAACAACAACAATGGCGGATGATTCTTGTTTGAGTTCGCAGTCATCACGCCAAGAACTTCTCCAACTTCTCCACTTCTTCGACGCTCCCAATGAACAGAGGAACTCTTTGATGGATCTGCCACATGATAGCATAGAGCATCAGCAGAGCATGATGATGATGATGATGATGATGATGATGGACGTGCAGCATTCGTGTGTACTTACTTCTTGAGGTTCGATGTCGAGGATCCTCTGGTAGCCATCGGAACCCTTGCCGCCGGCCTGCTCGACGATGAAGCTCATGGGTGCGCACTCGTACAGCAGCCGTAGCTTCCCGTTCTTGCTCTTCTTGTCCCGGGGGTACCCGTATATGCCCCCGTAGAGCAGCGTGCGGTGGAAGTCGCCCACCAAGCTCCCGATGTAGCGCGCGGAGTAGGGCTTCCCGTTGGGCCCGGGATCCTTGAGGGAGTCCATGTACGCCCGCAACTTGTCGTCCCACAGCAGGTAGTTGCCCTCGTTGAAGGCGTAGATCTTCCCCGCCGGCGGGATCTTCACGTCCTCCTGCGTCAGCACGAACTCCCCGTACATGGGGTCGAGCGTGAACACGTACACGCCCTTGCCCACCGTCAGCACGAAGATGACGGAGCTGGAGTACATGCAGTAGCCGGCGGCCAGAAGGTTGTTCCCCGGCTGGCACACGTTCACCACGCACTTCTGCTCCACTTGGCCCAGCTGCCATTGCCAAGTCCAAGGGTTAGAACGGTGTCGAGTGAGATGAGCTGGGGAATCAATCGGTGGTCATACTGTCTCGTCGTCGCCGATGTCGGCGAGGCACTCGTCGTTGGGGCTGTAGATTCCGAAGATGGAACCGGTAGAGACGGCGGCGTCGATGTTGGACGACCCGTCGAGCGGGTCGAAGACGACGATGTAGTTGCCGGAGTAGCTCTCTTCCACGGCCACGGGTACGTCTTCTTCCTCTGACGCTATGATGCCCGTTCGGCCACTCGACCTCAGGCAATTGGAGAACACCTGTTACATGCATGGTCCGTAAGTGGTCTCACCGTCGGAGCAAAGAAGCCACGGTTGAATAGGTGATGATGGACTGACCTCGTTGGAGACGACGTCGAGCTTCTTCTGGTCCTCGCCCTGGACATTGACGGCGCCCTGGACTCCGGTCAGGTTGGAGATGCCGGCTCGCTGCACCAGGGAGGCGATCTGCTTGCAGGCCATGGAGATGCTGGAGAGCACAATGGTAAGCTCGGCGTCGATGCCCCCAGCTTGCTCTTGCTTCAGCAACCAGGTGGTCAGCGTTTGGAGCTCGAAGCTACTCTTCCTCTTGGTCTCGACCTCGGAAGCCGCGGTGCCGACGGCGGCGCACGCAGCGCTCGACCTATTGCCGCCGTCGCCCGCGGCTCTTTTGGCTGCGAAAAGGACACTGCGGTGGCGGCCAGGTAAGCTTACATTGCTGAAGGGTGAGAGGCGGGGAAAGGAACGGGTGGTTGAAGAACTGGAGAGGATAAGCTTAGAGGCGGCCGGGATTAATGTGGCCGACGCCATGTCAGTGGCTCTCCAGTGTTCCTCCCTGCTGCTTTGCTTCTTCCTCTTCTTCTTCTTCAACTTCTTCTTCTTCGGATTGGTTGGCCATTGATAGGGTTTGCGTGACCGCAGAAGTGTGGATAGGATAGTTGCAGGATGTGAGGACGGTAATGCTCGGATCGTCAGCCCGTCCTTTGTGGCTCTCAACTCTCCGTCCCAGAGATTTGGACAGTATCGAGAAATGACAACTATACATTCCATCACAAAAGAAAAGCCGTAATAACTCACTGCCCTACTGATAGGGAAAATAATGGCCGGATGACGCGCCGTGACGATAGCCCCTGGAAAAGTAATAACGCTGACTAGACCCGCCCTGACAACTCCCGCTGTTGAACGACGACCTCCGACCCCGCAGGGTTGACCACGACAAGGCAGGACAATGACCTGCCCCCCGCCCATACCCTGCTACGAACCGCTCCACCACGCGACCCCAGCAGCCGCGTCAGACGCCATCAGAGGTACCACCTCACTCCAGCAGGCGGTCAAGTCAGGTAATGCCAACCTCCTCTATAAATACCCCTAAGTCCTAAACAAAAGGGGGAGGCTCTCAACATACTCAATACTCGGAGGTTTCTCCTCCTCCTGAAACCCCTTCCACATCTTTCGCTAACTTGATCGTCGGAGGGGTCGGGTCGAGCACCCCGACCCGACCTTGGTGCAGGTACGAAGCCTTCGGAGATCACCGCCTTCGGAGACTCAGCGGGCTCGAGGAGACTCCCCATCCTTTGACCACCACCTTCCGGACCCGAACCAAGTCGCGACGACCTCAGGGCCACGGCTGAACAGTTACTGGCCGTAACACCTACGTAAACAGGGAGGATTAGTCCCACATCAATTGGAACACGAAGAGGAGAGAGGTGAGCGGCGCTTAAAAGAGAGTCTTCGCCCTCCTTTTCTCCATACTTACCTGGACGGGGTTCATGGGCGATCAAGAAGGCTCATAGTCTGGGCCCGCGACCTCCATTGCACGTGGGAGGGCTGCTGGTCTACCATCTCCCCAAGCGGGAGAGTGGACGTCGAAATTCGTGGCAGCGGGGGTACGCGTTCGCGCGGCCCCCACCCAAAGAAATTTCAAATTTTAAGTTGCTCGTAAATTGTTTTAAGCTTAATTATATATATAATAACGTCAAAGCGGAAAAGCTTAAAACCAGTCTCACAGCACGGTTTTCCGGCACTCCTTTTCTCCCTGACTTCTCTTCTTGACGCTTAACAAGGATCACTGATCCCAAGTTTCTTTCCATAGCTACCGATAAATGAATTGACGAGGCTTTCGTCCCACATCGAGTAGATTCGGGGAGAGGGAAGGCTCGGTATGCATTCGCGCGGCCCCCACCCAAAGAAATTTCAAATTTTATGTTGCTTGTAAATTGTTTTAAGCTTAATGTTACATAATATCTTCAAAGCGGAAAAGCTTAAAACGAGTCTCTCACAGCACGGTTTTCCGACGAATCTCTCCACGGAGCCTCACATTAGTTCTACCCTGAAGTTTGATGCTGTTGCTCCGGTTTCATACACCATTGCAACTATCACTCCTTTTCTCCCCGACTTCTATTTTTGATGCTTAATAAGTGATAAAGGTTTATTTTAGACTCCAGCCATGTCATCACTCGTGCCTATGCTACTTCGGCACGAGGGGGGATCCCCACGCACCGAGTCAGAAGTCATGCCGATGCATCCCTCGGTACGTCCCGTCTCGGAAAGCTTGTGACGACGTTGCCTGGCATCGTTCCGCGCATTCCGAGATGACGATCGCACAAAAGTACCACCTCGCCCCTCGGGGATCGGTCATCGCACCAAACCCGCGTACGGTCGATCCTCGCATTGTAGTATAAAAGCCCCTGACTGACATCTGACCACGAGAGGAAAAAAGAAAAGGAAAAAGGAGAATCAACCACTAACTTAGTCATCGAGGGATCAAAATCGGGAACTCCCCGACGAGAGCCTTCTGTGCAGGAGCGCTGTCGCCCCCGGAAGTGCAACTACCCTGACCGAGAGATCCCTTCCCCAAAGACGACGCTAGTGCCCCGACCGTGAAGCGCTTTTCCTCAGACGACGTCGGCATCCCGACTTGCGGATGAAGCCACCCTCGATGCCTCGCCCAACTGATCGCGAACTCTCGACATCGACTATGGACCAAGCCGTGCTGACTCATCGATTACGACGCATTAGTTCACCACCAATAACAACAAGGATAACTGATCCCATGTTTCTTACCACAACTGAGCCGGTAAAAGAATTGATGAGGCTTTAGTTCCACATCGAGTAGATTCGGGCAGAGGGAAGGCTCTAGAGGTGCTTAAGAGAGAGGTCTTCCCTTCATCATTTCTTACTGACCTTGAAGGTGTCATTGGGCGATCGACAAGGTCCGAGACCCAGCCCCAAGATCTCCATGTTGCTTAGTCTGCATAGCTGGTCTACTACTTAATGTCTTGCGGTCCTTTTCAGAATCATTTAAATTTGTTCTTCTAATGTTTATTCGTCACAATTATTTCTTAAGGATTTTCTTATTTTATCATGAAAAGACTTTATTTTGTTTTAAATGATTTATTTTAATCTAAACTTTAGCTTAAATAAAAACTGCATTTTGGAACTAATTATAAATGACTCAAAATTAAGTCTTTTGTCTCCTAAGTTTTTGGGTCTCCCAATTCATTCGACGAATGGAGGGATGGATGGGCTTAGTTCGACCCACCTTTGTTTAAGGCCCAAAACTATAGAGCACATTCGAAAAGTCAATATATCACATCATGTCAATTGATTTAAACTTTTAGATGAAATAGTATTGATCAAAATATTAAAAAATGGTATCTATGGATCGATCCATAGAAAAAAAAAAAGAAAAGAAGATAGATTATTAAGAATATTTTAGGTATTAGAAAAAAAGAGGATGTCATTTGAAAATTTTAAAAATGAAAACGTTTCTTGAAAAAGAATAAAAAAAGAGATATTAATGTTGGATGCGAAGATTGCTGTGTTGTTGTGTTTAGAAACAAATGAGATTTTTTTTAAAAAAATAAAAATAAAAATAAAGATATTTTTTTTATTATATTAAATAACATAAGATCTATATCATTTTATTAAGTAATATATTACCCAATCGAATATCTCACCAGAGAAACAGAAGAGACCTGAACGCGTCGAGCGACCACAAAGTCCACCAAAAGCCAATCACACCCCCACCGTGCGTGGTTTTCCCACCTCGCTTTCAGATCTCACGCGACAGTGGCTAAAGGAAACCAATTCGAGACGTCGGAAGAAGGAATCGATCCGTTTATAGATCCATTTCTCCCTCCTCCCCTCTCTTCTTCCTCCTTCAGCTCTTCCTCCCACCCGACGGCAGCGAAAGCGATGAAAGGCCCCATCTTTGCCTCTCCATCTTATTCTTTTCTTCCTCGTATTGGCTTCCTCTTGCTCCGATTCTTACTCAATTGACCTGCACGACGTTTCGAGTTCCACACTTATAGATGGGCTTGCCAATCTTACCCGGGATCTCCACGCTCTGTCGATCGATTTCCGTCATCGAGATCGCTCCGATTCTACTCTATTCTGTCTCCAGTAGAATCGAGCTCAGGTTTCAGTAGCTTGAGTTCGCGGGAAGGGCGGGCGACATTTGCGGGATCATGGCAAGATCGTCGATGGAAGTCCTACCTCCGGCGACGATGCCGTGTTACCCCAGCTCGAGGTCGTTCCCTGGCGAGTGGTGGAGCGGGGGCGGCGTGGGAACCGGCCGCTGGACCCCCGAAGAGAACAAGCGCTTCGAGTACGCCCTGGCGACGTTCGACAAGGACACCCCTGACCGCTGGCTAAAGGTGGCGGCGTCTATTCCCGGCAAGACCCCGAGCGACGTGGAGAGCCATTACCGGGATCTACTGGACGACGTGAGCGAGATAGAAGCCGGAAGAATCCCGTGCCCTGGCTACGACCCTCCCTTTACAGTGGAGTGGGAGAGCAACTACGGCCTCGAAGCGTTGAAGCACCCTTACTGCGTCGCCGGTAAGAGGTCAGGGCCGCGAGCACCGGATCAAGAGAGGAAGAAGGGAGTCCCATGGACCGAAGACGAGCACAAGTAAGTCATCCGAGCGCGTCCTCCTCTCCATCTTTTACACAATCGACGTTGGAATCGACTGCCGGAACATCCAAGTCCTTCGTTCATCTGTGAATTCTACCTGCTAAAAATCTGATCTTGGTGGTGGTTGCCGTGCATCTTAGCCTGTCGTTTGTATCATTTTCGCAGGAGATTTCTGCTTGGGCTCCAAAAGCATGGCAAAGGAGACTGGAGAAACATATCTCGGAACTTTGTGATCACCAGAAACCCCACTCAGGTGGCCAGTCATGCACAGAAGTACTTCATCAGACTCAATTCAGGTGGCAAAGATAAGAGGAGGTCCAGCATCCATGACATCACCACCGCCAATTTGCCGGAAAACGAGCCTCCCTTGCCGTCTCGGTCATCAAGCTCGGCTTCAGCTCCTCCTCCGTCGGTCTCGTTCTCGTCGATCCTCGATTCAAATCGACCCAACGAAGCAACCGCACTGCCAAGCTCATTAGCACAGGGGAGCCAATTCGTGCAACCACGCCATGGAGTGACAGCTTATGGGCCGAAGCTAGAAGCTCATGATCCTATGTTTCGCGACCGCAACTTGCTGTTTCAGATGCAAGCAAGTCATCATCACCCTCATGGATGAGATTCTGTCGGTCAAACCATCTTCTTCGTCTGCTTCTACTATCTTAGAAATAGTAGTCTCACCTGCAACGAGGCATTCGTCCCAAGGTTATGCGCTTTAATTCTCATGAGGTCCGCACGGCGAGAAGCACGGATGAATCCTTTCTTTGTTTTCCCCTGCTCCAAAGAAACTACCAAACGATCAGAACAGCACAAAGGTCAAGAAGCAGGCATGGATTCAAGATCCTTCCATCGACCAAATCAGACATGAAGGAGAGATTGTATCAGAGGAGCTACATGTACTAGTAATACGAGGTTGTTTGTTCAAATTAATAGGGGAGTAATCCGATTGCAATAAACAGCATGGATTTACAATTGCTGATGAATCGAGGCTGGTGTAAAGTGAAGAGGATGGGAGAGTGTGGTGAGAAATCGCTACATGATATTATTGTTGATTGATTCATGCAAAGCCAACGCAGAAGATTCAACTATATCTCTTAACATTAATGTGGCTGAGTCACAGGGCATTAATTCATTCTGCAACTTTGATTCTGCTGCAGTCATCATCTTTCATTACTTAACTCTTATTGAGAGTCCCTTATTGCCTGTTCGTGTCTCATCTCTGCCACTTGACTGTGGTTGGTTGGGGCTGAGTCTGCATTCCACCATCCCCTCTCCTCTCTTCTTTTGTAGGTTCTCTTCCTGGTCTACTTTGTAGGTTGACTAAGTAAGGACAGATGCTTCGTTTATCGGATTCAGACAAAAGTCGTCTTTGTCATCATACATAGATTTGAAGTTGGAGTCAGTTTCCTGCATTAACTTCAATTTGGAATCTCAAAAAGAAGAAGAACGATAGAGTAACAATCAGCCCTGGTGACTGCTCCATACGAAGAATGGATTTGCTCCACCTCTTTATGGAGTCAAGTCGATATGAAGAACATAAGTAACCTAAATTAACAATGGAGAAGCAGGACAAATGGCCCACAGTTTACTACTAGAACTAAATGATTCCTCCATGTTGTCGAATCGATTCTTCGAGTATTGTTGTTGTTATTGTTATTGTCGAAGAAGAAGAAGAAGAAGAAGAAGAAGAAGAAGAAGAAGAAGAAGTTGTTGTTGTTATTGATATTTGATTTGACGATCATAATTATTTAAAAAATACTCATATCAAATTAAAAAAAAAAAAATGAAAGAATAATCACACAATATTAAAATAAATTAAAAGAGCCAAATAGTTAGTTGATAGCCGAATCGAGAAAAATGGATTAAGACAACGATGCGCGAGTGTATTGTCTGATCAAGCAAGCCTTTTTTTGCGAGGGAGATGATTGACACACCCATCCACTTCCTTTTGGCGGAGATGCCGCGGTCTTTTGTGCAAGAAAGCGAGGGCTTTGTTCCACTCCACCACACTTGGGGTTTTCTGATGTGCCCGCTGCGTCGTTTAGGACCGCAAGCATGTCACGGTGCAGCCGCTTTATTCTTGGCAACACCATGTCTTGTTCTCTTGCTCACAGCTGTTCCTTGGTATGTCCTGCACCAATCAAATGCACCCACTCTGACTTTTGAGGCCGATGATGATGATGGCGATCGCTTTGGTTCCGATGGGAAACAGGGAGTTGTCAGCCTCCTGCACACCACCCGCCCTGTTTCTGTCGCACTTGTTGATTGGTTTGACACGATGGTACTGAAAGCAAAGTTTTGTAACTCAGAATAAATAATTATTTTTTTATAATAAAAAAGATTAAATAGCATTTTCTCATAATTAAAGATCACACTAACGCTTCTATATTCGATAGAATGGACTATAAAAACATAAATATAGATTTTCTTATTTTCTATAAATTTTGATCTATGAAACGTTGTTAAGTTTGGTTTTCAAAAACATCTTAATCAATGGATGAATAGAATATTTTTATAAAAAAAAATATATTTTTAAATGTTAAAACTTTGAATTCCCGAATATTTTTTGAAGTTTTTCTTGGAAATTACCTTCATTTTTTTAACCTAATAATACCTATAATATTCCTAATTTAACATATATCTTTTTTTTCTTTTTTTTTGACACATCAGCCACAGTATAAAAACACCCGATGTTTTCAGCAATACTAAAAAAACAATTATAAAGCAATACAAAAATTCTGTAACATAGTGATTTTATATAAATTTTATAAAAACAACATATTTATAGTGTTTTTTACATTTTGTTGTAGTATTTTTTCGTATTATTGAAAATATTATAATTGGATCAATTTATCCTATGGACCGGTCTATAGGAAAAGGAATAAAATAAAAAGTAAAGAGATATGTGAGTGAGCATAGATATATATATATATATAATTAGAAAATTCTAAAAATGAGTGATGTTTTCCGTAAAAAAAAAAGCGTAAAAAGAGACTTTTTTAGGTAGTAAATTATAATATGTGCAATTGGGCCAAACTTATTGCTTGGTTTAAGAGTAAATATTGGAACCTTCTTTTCTACTCTTCTTTGGGGTTTATGAATCTAATACGTGCGATCGCCCCGACTTTAACCTATCTATATATAAAGGCCCTTTTTGCAGGGACCAAAGCCATCCGAGGCACCAAAGCCTCACAAGAAGAAGAGTCTTCCATCCTAAGAGATGTCTTTGGGTTACAGACAATAAGGACAAACTCATTAGATGTACCACGGAAGAACTCCCTAGAATGAATACTTCCTAGCATACATATCAAATATGATTACAAGATATTCAGAATTGATTTAAAATGAATACATGCCAAGTTTTCTCAGATCTACACATGAATCTGACTACAATTCAATCTTCTTTTCGCAGCATACCTCAAATCTGATGGAAGAATGTCTCAACCTGGTGGGGCTTCAGGCTACAGCCGTCGACTTGGAAAGTCGGCGGCAACCGCCCCGCCATGCATCCGAAGAAAATGTCAGCGGATGCTATCGATTTCAACATTTAAATCCCTTTTACAATGTTCATCGATTATTACTACGATTGATCACATACATTTCCAAGCCTCATCAAGGGCTAGACAGCTTGTTCCTTATGTACTACGTCTGTGATTGAAGGGGCATCATAATCTACTGCCTTAATATCACGACTCCTGCAACTAATGGAACATAAAAGCAGGGAATAAAGGCCATTAAGATGGTGTTTTCATCCTTGAATTGTTGATCCGTCTGAGCTCTCCCGTTACCAGCACTCGAGCTGCTTTTACCAGCTCCTCCTTAACCGTAAACAGAACTGCTGCAGCAAATACACTCTGCACTATTTTTGTGCCCATTCCTTTATAAAGACCCGAAAGACCTTCGTAGCGTATCATTTTTGTGATAGCATCATATGTACCTGCAAAACGTAATATATGGAGAGGTGATTAAACTCGGAAGCAAAGCAAACAGGTAGTCAGATTTATTGCCGATCACCAATGGGTTCGCCTACAAAATCCAATGGAAAATTGGACCTCAAGTTACTTACCCCACAAAAAATGTTCTCTATAAGAACAATGCAAGAGAAAGGGGACAACCATATAGAAATGGAACTCAGGATATTCACACCGAGGTGAGTATTTCATCAACGGGTCACTGAAAGTATAGCATGCCAAAAAGTAAGAAATGAAATTAGTAATGAAATAAAGACCTGTATATTGACGCCTCTTGTCATCATGAAGTCCTTGTTTTACTTGCAGCCTCGCCTGGAGAGGAACAAAACAGCATGTTACCAAACTATATCACCAACCATATGAAAGAGACTAAAGGCTGCTAAAGAATATTACAAGTTTGATCATCACAGACAATAAGCAGTTGGACAACATAAATGGATCAGAGAGATACATTACCTTCACTACTAACATGGGATACGTAACGATGGTAGCTCCAAGTTTGGCAACAGCTCCAAGAAGAAAAATCTGTATAGGTTATTTACAACATCAATGCATTCATAAGACTGATTAATCAAGAAGAGAAAATCTGAACATCATCCACAGTATAGCAATATCTGTGTCCTCGTATGTGTGATTCTGAATACACACAAGGAACAGCCACCAGCCAAATGTGTGCGACTCATGGAAAGAAAGACAGACATGATATGGTATCAACATACGTGATGAAAATTCTTTAAAAAGCAGGGCACAACATGCAATCAACTGATAACTAGTTTTTTGTTTTCTATATAGAGCTATAGGATTATATATCCTACAAGATAAATAATTTAGACAATTTAGCTCACTGCAGTAACTTATGAAACAAAACAAATGTTCACCAAATACTTCAATCCAATATCCAAACTCTTTAAGAAAAAATAACTCGTTTTATTGAAGGACATAAAGTCCAAATTCCATATACATTATTCGTATCCAACATGCCTAGAAACTTTATCCAGATGATTTAAGTACCCTACATAAATGTCATAATTGTAGGTGATACATGTGCCCTAACATGTTTTCAATTATTTAACTCGTGTTGGACACCAAATGACAAGTATCAGTTTCGACAAGGACATGCACAAACATAGAAATGTTTTAAGAATTTGCCCCTAGTATGAGGATGTCCACATCTATCAAACTTTGCCTGAATACATATAGGTTATGTTCAGGACAAAGCTAGGTAACTGATACAATAAATGAAGCAAACTTCATGGAAAAAAAGTGCTACACAAGGGCATGCCCACTAGAGTCAGGGTAAATTAAAATAACAGAACAAAGACTTAACTGAAATGAAACAAAGAACACGTGAACACAGACCATTTACCAAAATGAATACTTTTATGAATCAACATATGAACAATCTGAAGTTTCACTACCTCATGAACAGTAAATCCTTCAGCACCTTTTGTGTTTAAAGAACGTCTTCTCTTGATCTTCTTTAGTAGAGTTTCATATAACATGAACTGGATAGAAGGATTGCTAACCTAAAAATGAATGCTCATGTTAAGAACTCATCAATAAAAATTCCAAAATCTGCTTATGTTCCACTAACCATTATAAGAGTAGGAACTACTCCCTTCCAAAAGCCCCACAATCCAGCTTCATTGTAGAGTTCTTGAACCTGAATCAGAACATTTTCTCCAGTAAATGAAATTGATGAAACTGAAATGAAATAATAGAAAGATGTGAAAGAAGAGAAACTTGTGTATAAGAAAATTTGAATAACTTCTCTCTCTCTCTCTC